GTCTTAATATTCTACTATTTTTGGATATTTGGTTTAGAAGTTTTAAATTTTGATTATGAATGCTTCTAATCAATTTTAGTAATATTCATATTAAATGTTATTCACTTTTAATAGGATTTAGAAAATGTGATTAAATTATTAGTGCATTAGTAAAAAAAAAAGAATTTTAATCTTCAAGAATTATTTACGTTGTGCTAGAAATTTGAAGTTATTTTTTATTATTTTTGGTGCCTCTAGTGATGTAACCAAGAATAATTTTCGGAGCTTTTCAATTTTATAAATATAAAGGAGTAAAAGAATTTGTTTATAATTTTTACCTATTATTATGTTTTTACTGATTTGGATGTTAATTTATTTTATAATTATACGTTCTATTTGATGTTAAAATATTTTTACATTATCTTATATATTTAATAATATTAAAAACCGATCAATCTAATCGAATCACACCGATCCGATTTAAATTGGATTGGTTTGGTTACCACATAATAGTGAATTGGATTGGTTTAATAATTTTATTAACTAATTAAATTGGATTGGTTTAAAAAATAATAAAATTTGAACCGAACCACACCGTGAACACCTAGTCTTAACATGTTTTTCGGAAATATTTAACAGGAAAATAAAGGCTTGGCTGGTCAATTTACAATAGAGTTAACGGCACGTTTAAAAGGCTGCATTACTTATGGGATGGTAGGAAAAATTAGTCATGATCTGACTTATCCATCCTTTGGTGGTGTCATGGGATGGGACAAAGTCTATCCTCTTCTTTATCCCATCCTAACTTAATGAAATGAAATCTATTCCATGTCTTCCCAATGTGCTTACTTCTTTTTTTTTTTTTTTTTGAACAACGAAAATAATTTTTATTAATATATTTTGAAATATAAAGGGTACTCTTACTTATTACATCAATATTACATTAGGGTACTTGCCTTACTCATTCCTTTTTCAAGATGATATATATATATATATATATATTTTTTATCAGCAAAAAGAAATTTATTAAATGGAGTACAAGGGGTACTCCTGCCCTCTTACAAGATTGAAAGAGAAATTAAACCAACAAAACTCCCTAGCTAACACGCCATGAAGTAAAGGATCTAAAAGACACCCACTAAGAAGATAACAAATACGTCTTCTTGTAGATCCTTAGATTCTTGCCATGTTGAACTATGGTCCTCTTGCACTCCGATGGGCGTAAAATCCAATCTGTATAGGAAAAACTGCAGCCTTGTTCCTTGCTTTTGAGCCAAAAAAAAGATTTAGATTGAATAGAGTCCAATATTTGGTCTTCAAACCTTTCACCTGCCCTAAACACCTTCATATTTCTCCAAAACCAAACATACCAAGCAGTAACCAAAAAAACAAGAGTCCCTACCTCCGTCCAGCACCCCCCTGTTGATTCCAGCCACCACAACATCCGCCAATCCAAAAACATCTTTTGGAAAAGGACTCTGGACCCCCCACCAACCCAAAACCTTCATCCAAACCAACCAAACTGCTTTACACTCGCAAAAAATATGCTGGAGATGCTTGACACCCTCATGACAAAGCCCACAACAAACGTTTCCCCCTGGTACAACAACCCTTCTTCGACACAAGTTATCCTTTGTAGCTAACCTGTTCAAAAGTAATTTCCACCCAAAAATACTCAATTTGGAAGGAACATACTTACCCCAAAGAACCCGAGACCATTTCTCATCCAAAATAGAACATTTCGGTGATAAAAAGTCATAAGCCTTCTTAGCCGAATATACACCATCAGCACTATGACTCCAGCTCCAAGAATCAGCTTTTCCCCTATGCAACCCAACCATATTTATTAACTCCCTAAACTGTTCTTCCTCCCCCACTCCCCTCCCTACACAATTACGCCTCCACCTACAATCCCATATCCAAGTTTCAGCACTCCAAAACCCCATATCCTTTAACAGTCCTTCCCTAATATTAGCTAATGCATACAACCGAGGGAATAAATTTCGTAATGGTTTATCCCCTACCCATTTATCGTGCCAAAAGTCTACACAACTCCCATTCCCCACTTTCCACTTAAAACCTTTTCCTAACATTGCTTCTAACTGTTCCGACCCTCTGTCGAGACCCACAATGTCCTTCCACACACCTGACATATTCCAAATCACAACTGACGTAACATCAACCTCCTTTCTACCCCCATAATATTTCTCCCAAAGAACCCGCTTCCATAAACCATCAACACCATCACCTAGCCTATACCACCATTTTCCCAACAAACTACAATTCCTCCTCTCCAAATCAGCAACTCCTAAGCCACCTCTCCCCTTATCCATACACACGTACTCCCAACTAACCCATGCAATTTTCCTATCCAAATTAACACCCCCCCAAAAGAAACTTCTTTGAATTTTAATCATCTCACGCAATACACCTTTAGGAATCTTAAATAAAGATAAATAAAATATAGGGAGAGCAGAGAGTACCGAGTTAATTAAAGTTATTCGACCTCCGAACGACAGCAAGGGGCTTTTCCAGGAGGCAAGCTTCTGGCGGAAACGGTCCAGCACTGGGTTCCAAAACTGTCTTCTCCCTGAATTCCCTCCTACTGGCAAGTAAAAGGCATTTTGCCCACCCCACAACACAAAATGTCAGCTGCGCCTTTAACCCACCCTTCTGACACATTGAAGCCATACAAATAGCTCTTCCCAAAGTTGATCTTCAACCTAGAGATCAGTTGAAACCAATTCAGAATGGCCTTCACAACCCGTAAATTATCAACATCAGCCTTCCCCATAAACACCGTGCTATCCGCAAACTGTAACAATGATAACAACATGCCTCCCCGTCCAATCTCGACACCCTTCAAGAGTCCTTTACACTCCGCTTTTTTGACAAGCCCACACAAGCCTTCCACAACTAACAAAAACAAAAAATGTGACAGGGGATCCCCCAGGCGAAGACCATTGCGAACTGGAAATTCATTCGTCAGACTTCCATTTATTAAAATGGAGATTCTCGCAGTTGAAAGACACTCCCACATCCACTTCCTCCACTTCACCCCAAACCCCATTCTATTCATCATCCAATCAAGAAAGCCCCAGTCCACACAGTCGTAGGCTTTCTCAAAATCCGCCTTTAAAATGAAGCACTCTTGCTTCCTCCATTTCACCTCATGCACAACCTCATTCTGAACTAACACACTGTCGACCAGTTGCCGACCTCCAATAAAAGTTGCTTGTGACTCACTGATAATACCCTTCATAACCATCTTCAACCAATTGGCCAATACCTTAGCCAGTAATTTATATAGACAACCTATCAAGCTAATAGGCCTATACTCCTTGAATTGCTCAGGATTCAACTTTTTTAGTATTAATGCCAGAAATGAAGAATTTAAACCGTTGACTAACCTCCCATTGCGATGAAATTCCGTCACAAAATTCACAAAATCTTCCTTCACGATGTTTTAGGCAAACTTTACAAAGTTAAAATTAAAACCATCTGGGCCTGGAGCCTTGGAGCCATCACAATCATTTAGCCCCTTTTCAATTTCCTCTATGGTAAAAGGTCGTTCAAGCCATTCTCGTTGTGCCTCTGAAATTCTCCGGAATGAAATCCCATCCATCATCAGTCGGCGCCACTGTTCTTTCTGAAATACCTTGGTGAAGTACTTCACTGCCTCCGCCTTAACAAGCTCAGGTTCCTCAACCCACCCATTATCACCGTAGATACCTGAAATGGTATTTTGAGCCCTCCGAGCATGCACACTCCTATGAAAAAATGCTGTATTGGCATCTCCGGAGCTAGCCCAATTAGCTCTTGATTTCTGTTTCCATACTAATTCCCGCTGCTTTAATGTCTCCCCCAGCTCCTGAAAAGCCTCCCTTCGCTGCTTCACCTCTGCCTCATTCAACCCTTCCACCTCACATTTTTTATCCAGCCTCTCAATCTCATTCCTCAATTTGTTAGATCGGGCCTCCACATTGCCAAACACCCTGTCATTCCACCTTTTGCATTCCTCTTTTAACAATTTCAACTTCTGCTTGCACTTGTAGGCTGACAATCCTTCAATCTGCATCGTCTTCCATCTTTCATCTATAAACTTTCTAAAATCATTATGATGTTGCCATACATCGAGTACCCGAAAGGGCCTGGGACCCCAATCAACACTTCTTGATTTCAAAATAATTGCGCAGTGATCTGAGATTGACCTTCGAATGCCCTCTTGAATCCAATCTCCCTCCATTAAACTCATCTTAGTGGATAACAAGAACCTATCAAGTCTACTCATCAAAGTTCCATCCGGTCTATACCATGTAAACTTTTTATTCCTCAACCGGATATCTACCAAACCCGTCTCTTGCACAAAAAGATTAAATTCTTCCATGTCTTGAGTCTCACCCATCCTCCCTTTCCTCTCCGCACTATTACAAACAGCATTGAAATCCCCTACCAAAAGCCATCCCCCACCCTCATCCAATACTAACCTACTCAATTCCCCCCACAACACAACTCTGCGTTGCCTGTCGCATGGCGCATAAACATTAACAAAAGTGCATTGAATCCGTTGTTGACCCCACTCCTTTGAAATCCTGATGAAACCTTGACCTTCAACTACCCTCTGTTTCACAAAATTCCTCTTATTCCATATGCACAGCATACCACCCGAATTACCATTTGATTTTTGCATCACCCATTCAAAATCATCTGAGTTCCACACTAACCGACACACAGACATATCAATTTGTTCAAGCTTTGTTTCCTGAATAAACAAGAAATCTGGATTCTCCTTTCTTACTAACTTAGAAATCTCTTTTCTCTTCACCACACTACCCAAACCCCTAACATTAAATGAGATAACCTTCATAAGAAACTTTCATACCTCACCAGCCGGCAACCACACAAATCCATCGGGTTATGCCTCCTTGAAGCTCGCCACCTCTCCCTCTTCCAGCGTGACCAACCGAGACAGCACTTCATCCTCATTTTGTTGACACTTAACCTCTAGTCTTTGCCCCAACATGAACAACTTCTGCACCTCATCCAGCTGGATCTGCTGCCGAATCAGTTGGTTTCTATTCTGGATACACCCATCGGACAGAGAGAAGCTTCCCGTCTGCAGCTCCGGCCTGGGTTCCTCTCAGTTGGCCTTGCTTCTTCGATCCCTTCTGCCTTTTGTTCTTGCAGTTACCCAACTCGCCTCCCCTGCTTTTAATTTGGTCTTCCCATCCTCTGTAGCCCCGATACCCTCATTCCCCGAATATATTGCCCCTAAATCTCTGCTCTTCTTTATTTTTTTTCCCTCATGTTGCTGAAACAAACCATTACAAGTCAACAACCCACTATCACACCCACCTATAGCCTGTTGCTCACCAGACCTTGTTGCTGCTGGCCCAACCATGTCCACACCCTTCAACCCAATTAAATCATCCCCCACTAGCCCACCTAAGTCTGCCCCATCTAGCCCGCACATCTCCATCCCAATTAATTCCAAATTTTCAAAAGACTCTCCTTCCGTTGCAGCGTTCGTTACAACTTGAATATCGCCATTCATGGCTTCATCCCCTCCACAAATTTCGGAAGCCATTAAGCCAGATTCGTTGCCATCATCACTAGAATATTCTGATACCGATTCTGACGTCGGATTCCTCCGCTCCTCGGCCAGCCACCAATCTGGATCCATCCTCCACTCCTCCTCAGCCACTTCAATCGGAAAAGCTTCATTACCCACCTTCAGGAGTATTGTTGCTGAAATTTTAGCCCTTATTTCACACAGAATGAGAACCCTTCCTTCACACAAAAATGATTTGCTCTTCGTATCTTCATCCACGAGTATGACCTCGCCAATTAATCCCCCTAGCTCAGCAAAGCATTGCTCACTCCATGAATGTAAAGGGACACTGGAAAAACGCAGCCAAGCCAAACGACTTGCAGCTGAAACCATGGATAAGGATGTTGGTTGCACCCATTCGAACCATAACTCTGTTAGCTCCTTATTATTCTCTATGAACTCCACAAGACATCCTTCTGAATTATCAACCAAAATGATCTGTCTACCTCCTAACAATGCAACATTCACCATTAAACGATCAACATCCATCCTATGTTGAATTTGTCTCACCATATCTAGAGACCGGACCACAGCCACCATGCTCCTATTCAACCAAGCCACTTCCTCATCACTAGGCAAGAATTCTAACACAAAATCACCTTGTATAGGAGACGTTGCTCCGGCTACCCCCTCCGTTATCAATGGCACAGACAGTTTCTCTGAGGGTTTTTCAGGTATCCCTGCAGAAGCCTTCATCGAGAAACCCTCCAATGCAATCCCATCTGCTGTTTCCTCCATTTCTCTCGTTGCCATCAATTGTCTATCCCCCTTGTTCGAGGACAAACCTTCCGCAACTGCACCCGGACTAGCAGCAACAACCTGTGCATATGACCTCCCAGGCCTCACCCTCGCATCCCTTCTGACCCATTGTTTCTCTTCCCTTCTGTTTTGAGCCACCTTAAACTCAACCTTCCCTTTTTTCATATTCTCTGCCACCTTCACTTTACGGCGATAGGAATCCAGCCAAATTTGGTTTAGTTTCCTCTCCATGTCCCTGACATCAAAGGCACCTGCCATACGCGCGAACCCAAACTGACGACCTCTTCGATCACGCCTTGTGGGAATATACACATCCACCACCTTCTCATATGACCAAAAACAGAACCACAGATCCTTTGTTGAACGATCCTCTGGGAAATCATAGAAGAAAAACGTTGTAGCCTGTTTTAGGAACCCCTTGCCGAACCCTGGAAGCCGCCTCCGAGCCCCACTGTCCTTGGCTGTCGAGAACCTTGCTCTAACCCTAGCACTCTCTCTCTCTCTCTCTCTCTCTCTCTCTCTCTCTCTCTCATCTCTCTTTTCCTCGATCTAATGCTTTCAAGATGATATATTAACAGTATGATTCAAAAACCAATCTGATAAGTTTACTACCCAACTATCTTTCCTTGCCTTTATCCATTCAAAAGCTCTAATCTATATAGTTTCTAATAATCTATTAGCCTCCGGTTGTTCCCCTTGAAATAAAGATCTATTTCTATGCAGCCAAATATTCCAAATAAAAGAGAACCAAATAACCATCCATCTCTCCCTCACATTCTTGTCCTTAAACATAGAACCCTGTTGTTGAAATGTAATTACTCAGGATGGGATGTAATGTAATTTTGGCAGAATCAAAAATACAATCTCAAACTTACCTCCTCATCTTTCCCTCTCATCGCAATCGCCTCCAACACTTTACTCTCCTCCATTTTAGTCGTCCTAACCATCACCGCAGCCGATAGTAGGCATCGAAGTTCCACTGCATCGATTGTCTTTTTGGTTTTCTAACCAAAGTTGGTCTTCATATATCAAATGCACATACCTATTTTCATTTAATCTAATCCATGCATTGTTCATGAGCTATACTTGAAGATGTAGGTTTGTGCTTAATCCTGTAGCCAGTCATAAAGTGGAGGTTTTGATATGACTTTAATGCTCAAAATTTTTATGTGAGCTGCTGTTATTTTTTTTTTTTTTTAGTTTACAAAATTGGACTAGGTGAAAAATTGAAGTCTTAACCTTAAATTATGTCATTTTATTTAACTAAAATTTAATTTAAAATTTAAAAATTTATTATATTAAGTATTGATATTTAGACTTAAAAACTGATTAGATTTTTTAATTTTGAATTGAGATTTCAGTTTCTAAATATAGATTGTGATTGTAATTTTTTTTAAAAGGCACGACTAATACGTATTAACCTTTATATATATATATATATATATATTATTAAGGGTTTATTTATATATAAATTTTATACACCACATTTATACAAAAC